ATTGCTGGCGTATACTTTCCACAGATTCCCATGTTGCTTCAAAGTCCGGTGAGTTCTTCCACTTGATCAGCACTTCAAGACCTGAACCCTCTGCTGAATTGGCACGCACCTGCAATACTGCCTCAGGTTCTATCATAGACTGACTTTCCATGGCAAGTTGTTCTGGAATATGGGAGATAGTTTGGATGCCCCTACAGCTTTCCTGAGTTGGGATATATGAAAAATCGGGTGAATGGCAGATTCTGGAGGAAGCTTCAACCGGTAGGCCACCTGCCCAATCCTAGCCTCGATTGCAAAGGGTCCATAGTTCCTGGGGGAGAGCTTTGCAGATGATCGACGGGCTACAGATTTTTGACGTAGGGGAGTAGCTTCAAGTACACCAAGTCCCCAGTGTTCAACTGGATGTCACGGCGATGCCCATCTGCCTGCTGTTTCATCCTCTGTTGGGCCCGTAACAGGTGCATCTTAAGATGTTGGAGGACTTCATCCCTGCTGATTAACGATTGTTCCACAGATGATACTGTTGTCAATCCTTTTTCAAATGGTAGAACTGGAGGGGGATCACAACCATAAACAATCCGAAAGGGCGTATGCTTTGTTGCTGTGTGGAATGAAGTGTTATACCAATATTCCGCCCAGGGTAACCACTGCTCCCAGGAGCGGGGTTTACCCGATGCAAAGCAATGCAAGTAGGTTTCTAAACACCAGTCAACGACCTCTGTTTGGCCGTCCGTCTGGGGGGTGGTAAGCTGTACTCCTCTTGAGCATAGTCCCCTGAGCCCGAAAAAGTTCTTTCCAGAATTGACTCATGAAAATACGATCGCAGTCCGACACAATAGATTGGGGAACGCCATGCAATCTGACAATTTCTCGAATGAAGACCTTGGCCACCATGGGAGCCTTGAAGGGGTGCTTTAGACCAATGAAGTGGCTGTACTTACTGAGGCGGTCGACCACTACTAAGATAGTGTCCCAACCTTCAGACGGGGGTAGACCTTCAATAAAATCGAGTGAAATATTAGCCCACACCTTCTGGAATTAGCAGGGATTGCAAGAGTCCCTGGGGAGACAAAGACATGTACTTGTTCTGCTGGCACACATTGCAACGATCCACAAATGCCTTGACATCTTTTTTAATGCCCCTCCAATGGACCTCCCGTGCAATTCGTTTTTAAGTTTTGAGGAAGCCCGAGTGACCACCAACGCCAGTGTTATGATACTCTTATAGTATTATTTCTGTGAGTGGGGATGATTTCGGTACAACCAACCTGCCTTTGTAAAGCAGAACTCCCTCTAGCACAGAGTATCCTGGTTTTTCCTCCCCTGTCTGAATACTTGCGATGACCTTGCTTAACTCTTCGTCACTCGCTACTGCCAACCTGACATCGTCCAACTGTAACACTCGAGAGCTGGATATTGCCAGAGAACTCACTGTGGGCTCCACTCGGGAAAGGGCATCTGCAGCTTTGTTCTCTAATTTCGGCCGGTACTGAATTTCAAAGTAAAAACCCAAAAGTTTAGTCATCCAGATGTTCTTCACAAATTAAGCGCTGCTCTAAGAGGAACTTCAGACTTCGCTGATCAGTTCTTACTATAAAGCGTCTGCCTAGAAGATAATGCCACCACTTTTGGATGGAAAACACAATGGCCATCAATTCTCGCTCATAAACCGACTTGCATCTAGTTGCCTTTGCATTAAAACTCCCCCCAAACCTTGACCCGAGGCATCCGTTTCCACCACGAATTCCTGCAAAACATCTGGTAAAGCGGGGACTGGAACTTCGGTCATAGCTCTCTTTAGGTTGCTGAAAGCTTCCTCTGCTGCCTTGCCCCATATGAACCCATCCTTTTTTAGCAGCTCGGTTAATGGCCAAGCATCTTTGCATACCCCTTTACAAATCACCGGTAGTAGCCGATGAGTCCTAAGAACCCACGTAGTTCCTGAAGATTCCTAGGCGTGGGCCACTTGCACATTGCCTCCACTTTCGACTCATCTGTCGCCACTCCTTTACCTGATATCATATGGCCCAAATACTCCAGCTGGGACTGCCCAAATGTGCACTTTTTCTCATTCGCGTATAACTTGTGTTGCTATAAATATGTCAGTACCATGTCTAGGTGTGCTTGGTGTTCCTCAAGAGATTTACTGTCAAAGAAGACCAACACAAATTTTCTGAGGTAAGGTCGAAAGATATCATTCATCAGTCCTTGGAAAGTCGTCGGTGCATTCGTCAGTCCAAACGGCATAACAAAAAATTCATAGTGGCCCTCATGAGTTCGAAAGGCAGTTTTCGGCACACCTTTCTTCCTCATCCTTATCTGATGGTAACCTGATTTTAAGTCCAGCTTTGAGAAGATATTCGCCCCATGAAGCTCGTCCAGCAATTCATCAATCACTGGTATAGGAAATCTGTCTGAAATTGTTACCCGGTTCAGCGCCCTATAATCCACACAAAAACGTCAGCTCCCGTCCTTCTTTTTAACCAACAAAACAGGGCTCGAGAATAGACTACAGTTGGGCTGAATTATCCCTGCCTCTATCATGTTTCGGACAAATTTCTCAATCTCATTCTTCTGAAAATACGGGTAACGGTATGGCCTGACATTCACCGGTTCTGCCCCCGTTTGGAGCACAATCGCATGATCAAGGGAATGCACTGGGGGAAGCTTGTTGGGCCACTCAAAGACCCTGCGGTGGCGATGCAATACCTCTGTCAACTCGTCAAAACCCCTTATTCCTTTAACCTCGTCTTCCAGGCTCAAGCTACCCAATTCCAGCAGTACCCCTTGGTCACCTTCTTTAAAGTTCCTGACCATCGATTTATTGAGACCTGAGTCTTTTGTAAACTGGAGTCCCCCTGCAACACGACCAATTTTCCTTCAACATTAAATCCAGAGCGGGACCTGAGGAGAGGCCCAAGAGGCCTCTGCCTCGAGCTCCCTTAGCCCAGCATATAAGGGGGCCCAAAAAAATCTTGCAACCATTTTTTATTTTGTTTGGAAAACCCAATTTCAACAGTTTCTTCTACAGTTGGCTGCTCCTCCATTCCAATCGCCACGATTAGTCCGTCTGCAAGACTGCAACTCAAGGCCCTGCAACCACTCCTAAAATCTACCGGCGATGGGCAATGGCAACATCCTGTGGCGGTCTTGGGTTAGGGTCTTCTTCTATTATTGGACTCGTTGGTACTTGGTACTATTTGGTAAGTCATTTATGATTTATCTTCCCCAAATTCCAACCGACTGACGGCAATAATCAAGGCATGAATCCGATTCTGATGCTGTCATTTTGCTTCCATGCGTTCTGTATGACTGTATCATCTATCAATTTGTTTTCTTGCAATGTATGGTAATTGATATCCAAAATCCGACCAACCGCATAGTGGCATTCTGCTTCTATGCTTCAGCCTTTAGTTCAATGCTTTTGTTAATTATTATCTAATATGTATCAATTTGTTTTCTTGCAAAGTTTTAGGTATGAGATTTAAATTGATTTCTTTGTCTATTTGTTGAATCTTGATTCTTAAACTTGAAGACATTGGACATGTTTAATTGATTTCAATTGGTGAATGAAATTCTTAAATTCATCCATTAATGATGAATGATTAATGATTAATCCTGCCATGTTAAAGTAATTTAAGAGCAAGTGAACTTTGATTCTGTGAAGTAGGCTGCCTATGACTGTGAGCAATTGTAATCTAGACTCTAACTTTCCAAATTTTGTGTTGGGGTTTTTTGATAATGGAAGTTGATGATGATCCGATGATTGATTAAATAGGTAAGGTTAGGTGATGGAAATATAGATTCATTAGCTCAACTTAATGGATTTAGCTCTCTAGCATTTTTTTTTTTTTTATGATTTGGTCTATTTTTTAGAACATTTTTACATTATTATTTGATTATAATATACATATTTTAAATATTTCATTTTTTTGTTTTATTTTTTGATTTTATGTTAACAAATTTACTTACTTAAATCTCTTATAAATGTTAAAAATTAATTGCTTCGTATAATTTATGGGCCCAAAATTTGAATTTCGCCTCGGCTCCCCAAAATACAGGGTCGCCCTGATTAAATCTCATCGTCAACCTTCCCCAATCCACCTGTGTTTGACCGAAGGTCCCTAACCACGTCATTCCCAAAATTAGGTCGGTACACCCCAGCATAAGGGAGAAAATCATCCACCACCTCGATGCCTGGCAAGGCCACGACTAACCCCTTGCAAATTCCCCAGCCTTCCACCGTGGTACCTGTTCCTATAGTGACCCCGTAGCTGTTGGTTCCCGTCACTGGGATGTTTAGCTTCTTCACCAATCCCAATGATATGAAGTTGTGAATAGCCCCATAATCGATGAGCACCACTACTGCCTGTCCTAGCAGAGACCCAGTTACCTTCATCGTCCTTGGTGTGGTTAGCCCTACCACCGAGTTGAGGGATAGTTCCACAACCTCTTGCACTTCATTTTCGACTACCCCTTCCTCCTCTTGGACCACAAGTACCTGCAATTCCTTGAGTCGACATTTGTTACCAGGTTGGAACTTCTCGTCGCATTTATAGCATAATCCCTTCTCCCTTTTCAGCTGAAGTTCCGCATCCGACAGTTTCCGGTACAGCGTTCCCCCCTTTCCGACAGGCGGGCCCCTGTGATTGGGCGTTGATGGCTTCGAATGGGCTACTGGAAGTCGCTGGTACGAAGTCGCGTGATGGGTCTGAGCATTCTGGGAGTAATTGACTGGGCTGCAGGAGAAGTTATTTGTCTGGGTCTTTACTTTAGTTGGGCCGTATTGAAGCTCGGCTGATCAATTGCAGCACTTCTATCCTCAACTCATTGGGCTAGTACCATGGTATGGGCCAATCCATGGGGTTTCATCATCCTAACTTCGGCCCGTATAATAGGTGTCAACCCATTGACAAAATTACATTCCAGAACTTCTTCAAGGATCGGTGGCAGGGGAGCAGCCAGTGCTGCAAATTGGCGCCGATAATCCCTCACGGAGCTTACCTGCCTTAGCGCTAGCAACTTCTCCAGCTGGGTTCCTTCTTGTGACGTACGAAATCGCTCCATGACCAAGGTTTTAAGATCTTCCCACCGGCGCATGGGCTGCCTATCGTCCTCCCATTGGAACCAAGCCAGTGCCTCTCCCTCGAAGCAAACTGCCGCCGCCTCTAATTTCTCGCAATTCGATAATTGATTCATGTTAAAATATCGTTCTGCTCTGAAAATCCAGCCATCCGGGTTCTCACCATCGAAAATGGGCATTTCTAGCCTTCGGTTCCGGTCTACTTGGGGAATCTGAGGATGGTTCGTGGGGACTCTTCTCCTTCCTTCTTCTCTCCGTTTCAGCCCACTGCCCCATCAATACATCGATTTTTTCCATTAATGAGGCCATATCCTTCTGCACACCCTCTATCTACCCTTCCAGCGAGTCCACCCGATCAGACAGTGTCATTTTCCCAGGTGTTGGATGCTCTAATACCAAATTGATGGGACCCTGCTCTGGGATCACAGATTGAAAGGCTAAAATGAAGGGATCTGGACTGAATTTTAATGTTTATTGAACTGAAATGATGAACAAAACATGACCAGGAGTATTCGAGAGGCTTCAACTCTCCTACTAGACACTTGAATTTTCCATACCTCTACCCCTCCTTTCCCTTTTACATTTATTGACAAATTTTCCAACTCACTACCCTCCCCAACAACTAACAAATTAACAAAACGGCATGCACATGAATTAATTTCTGTTACTTAACCGACTTGGCTGCTTCCCTGTTTGGCATCTGACCTGGTTGCTTTTCCTTCGTGCATAAGTGAATATTACTGGAGGCTTATTAGGTGGGTATGCAGATGGGGAGTAAAGAATTAGTTCTTCAGAGTAGCCATCAAAGGACTGCTACCAAAAGAAGTAAAATTCATACCTTTTGATCAAAATGATTTTATTGATCAGCCAAATGGTAGTCATACCCAAAGCTTATCATCCGCAAAACAACTACCAAAAGAACAGGAAATAGAGAAAAAAGATGAGATACAGTAAATAACATTTCATTAGGGGATTCATGCCAAAGGATACAAATGCTTTAAACTGATCATTGTAATTAAGGTATCACCCGCACTAACACTCGTGGTAAGTAAATAATAATGCTGTCAGCTACAGCTTTGTCATGGAAAGGTACATCAGAAAACCAGTATGAAATTTATTTTCCATTTATGCTATCAAAAATCGTACCTGTAGATTTCCCGAGCTTGATGATTCGGATTGAGCACGATTGTAGTCTTCCGGTACCAGAAACAAAAGGCAACGAGGTGTGTTCTCGTTGTTCCTCCGATGCTTAAGTCAGAAAGAGAATTATAAGTGTGAGGCTATAAACTGGAGGATAATGAATAACGTACCTGAATGATGGTCCAAGGTTCTATATTTATAGAGGAAGGTAGTGTACTCCTAGTAGGATTGTGCCGGTTGGATGTTTTTATCCAATGGAATCCCGTTTGTAAGGAATGTCCTACTCGTAATGGAATTGTCTGATAAGTAGTGTAAGAGTTGATATAGAGTTATTGGGTGTTTAGGTGTTCGTTTATTAGGCACATAGGTCTAGAAAATCTATTAATGGAATATGTCTCGAGGACTTATTCTCGAGGACCATGGGGTGATGTTAATAGTCGTATGAGTTTTCCTCGAGGACCAAAACACCCGAGGACTAGAAAGATCCCGAGGACATATGGCAAAAAGGTGAGTGGAGCACGTATGGAGTCCTCGGGTATACCAATATTGGTATCATCATTGGCCCCCATGCACTCCTCCTAGAGATCGAGCGTTAGGATGGGGTGCACATGAGTTACGAACACTTTACTTTAGGCAGCTTCGTCGAGAAGTGCTAGCTGACGATAAAGGTCGGTATTGATATGACCGTTGCAGAGAATGGGCTTGGATTTTTGACACGTGTCTTCATGGACAGTTGTAGATAGCGACCTTTGGCCTCCCGTCATTTTCGCCTATAAATATTGCTATTCTCACCTTCATTTTTCACTTTTACCCATTGTAAATCTGAGTTCTGTGAGGTTGTGCTCGAGATAAATACTCTGGGAACTTCTCAACTCGTCGGGAAACTCCAGGTAAGGCTCGAGACTTCTAAGTTATTCCATAAGCTAGGTCTTAAGTTCGTTAAGCGATGTCGAGTAGTGAGGGTCGTGATTCATCCAGTAGTTCGAGTAGTAGTGAGGATGTAGGAACGTCGATAATACCGACGGCTATTCCCCTAGAGGCTACTCCTGAGGCTCAAGTTAATATGATCTTCGAATATCTCGATGAACCCTGTAGGCTGAAAGAGCACTCAGCTATTGATGCGGCTAGGGAATATGGTATTATGCCTATCTGTGATGTTAGATTTCCTGGCCCCGAGGATAGGATTATTCGACCTCGTCGAGGGGAGTTTGTTATTTTTAGGGAGACCCTTAAGGCTGGCTTTAGGTGGCCCCTTCACCCCTTTTTTATTGCTTTGTTGGTCGAGCACTCCATGTGCCCGGGGTAGTTAGTGCCCAACGCCTGAGAATGCTCATATATTTTTTTTATAGCATGTAGGTTCTTAGGTATCAAGCCCAACATCGACCTCTGTAAATTAGTATTCGAGCTTAAGAAACATCCTCAATATACTTGTTTTGGCTATCTCTCGACGATAGGGGGTTTCAAGGTCCCGAGGATGGCGATTTCTCTGAAGGGGTGGAGGGAGGGGTAGTTTTATGTAATAGCGCAAGAACCCGACCTTCCTTTCTGGCCTGATTGGGGAATCCCCGACTCCGAGAAGTTCTGTGAGGGCTAGGTACATCTAGATGTGTTGGAAAAGCATAGGAGGATGCTAGTGGGGCTTAGCCCCTTTTTCTCGACGATGAAGGAGATTGGGGAAGAGGTTATAGACCTGGCAAATATTAGAGGCGTCGAGGGTAGGGATATTCCCTTATTTTTTGCGAAATAGCTTGACCTTGTGCTCGTTCTAAAGTGTTGTAATTTTGCAGGCATATCGTTTGATCCTCGAGCCCTCCGGAATTTTGTCAGCACGAGGGCTGGTGCCCATCCACAGGGGCAGCCCCCGACGGAGAAGAAGGGCAAGAAAAGGTCTCAAGGCACCCCTGAGCGAAGTGTGAGGAGGCCTGGCGAAACATCTCGAGCTCAACCTCAAGTCTCGACCCCTTTGCAGCCGAGCCAAAGATCTCCAACTCCTCGGGTCGTTACTCCTCAGCCTCCTTCTGAGGTGGTCGACCTTGAGGATGATCCGTGTCTGACCGGGGACTTTGATCGTTGCAACCTCACTCCTGATCTTGTGAACAAGTACAAGGAGGAGGTCAAGCTCAAGGATGGAGTGAAGGTCCTCGAGCGTCTTACTGTGAAGGTAATCCTCGAATATTTGACTTCAGCTTTTAGTTTCGTCATCGAGATTAATACTTATTTTCTTTTTCAGATGTTGAGTGTAGCTCGAGGGCTTTCTCTTCAAGGCATCGAGGAGGCCAAGAGAGCGGTTGGGGTGGAGACCTCCATGGCCTCCAAGGACAGGAGGATTCTTGACCTCGAGGCTCAGGTCGAGGTTCTATTGAAGGAGCGTGATGACGCGAAAATAGAGGCTGCTAAGGCCAGGGATGACCTTGATGTGGCAAAGGATGAGGTTGAGGGTGTGAGGCTCGAGCTTGTCCAGAAGACAAAGGATTTTGAGCGCGAGCTCGCGGATGTAAAGGAGAAGGCCTGGGAGGAGTTTAAAACCTCCGAGGATTGTGATAAGATCAAGGGCGAGTACGCGTTGGGGGCGTACTTCCATGCTCTAAAGGAGGCCCGGGCCTTCATCCGTTTGAAGTTACCCGACGTCGCTTCGGATGACCTGAAGACCGTGCCTTCCATTGCTGATACCTTGGAGCTCTTGGGTGCAGAAGATGGAGGAGGATCAGGTGGAGATGACGATGAGGAGGTCCTTGAGGACGATGTACAGATCGACATCCACAACCTCGACCCTCCCCTTGGCCATATTGGATAGCCCCCACCCCGATCTTTTGCTTTGTAATTTTTGTTTTTTGAACAACTTTTTTGCTCGATGAATTGTACAATGTTTTACTATTATTGAATGGTCATTGCCTTTTAGTTATGAACTGCAAATTAGTCATCCCGGCCCCTGGGACTTCAAACATCTCGAGCAAACAAACTGAAAAGTAATTCTCATGCGAAGTCCTTGGGAGAATAACTCGAGTACATTAACTTTAAAGAAGTTATGTACTTATGTGACGTCCTCGAGGGATTGATATTCTCGAGGACTTTACGACTCGAGCATATTAACTCAAAAAGAAGTAATGTACTCATGCGACGTCCTCGAGGGATTGATATATACTCGAGGACTTCATAACTCGAGCACATTAACTCTAAAGAAGCAATGTACTTATGCGACGTCCTCGAGGGATTGATATTCTCGAGGACTTTACGACTCGAGCACATTAACTCAAAAAGAAGTAATGTACTCATGCGACGCCCTCGAGGGATTGATATATACTCGTGGACTTCATAACTCGAGCACATTAACTCTAAAGAAGCAATGTACTTATGCGACGTCCTCGAGGGATTGATATATACTCGAGGACTTCATAACTCGAGCACATTAACTCTAAAGAAGCAATGTACTTATGCGACGTCCTCGAGGGATTGATATTCTTGAGGATTTTACGACTCGAGCACATTAACTCAAAAAGAAGTAATGAACTCATGCGACGCCCTCGAGGGATTGATATATACTCGTGGACTTCATAACTCGAGCACATTAACTTTAAAGAAGCAATGTACTTATGCGACGTCCTCGAGGGATTGATATTCACGAGGACTTTATGACTCGAGCACATTAACTCAAAAAGAAGTAATGTACTCATGCGACGCCCTCGAGGACTTTACGACTCGAGCACATTAACTCTAAAGAAGCAATGTACTCATACGACGTCCTCGAGGGATTGATATTCTCGAGGACTTTACCACTCGAGCACATTAACTCAAAAAGAAGTAATGTACTCATGCGACGTCCTCGAGGGATTGATATTCTCGAGGACTTTACCACTCGAGCACGTTAACTCAAAAAAGAAGTAATGTACTCATGCGACGTCCTCGAGGGATTGATATTCTCGAGAACTTTACCACTCGAGCACGTTAACTCAAAAAAGAAGTAATGTACTCATGCGACGTCCTCGAGGGATTGGTATTCTCGAGGACTTTACCACTCGAGCACGTTAACTCAAAAAAGAAGTAATGTACTCATTCGACGTCCTCGAGGGATTTGTCTAAAAAGATGGAAGACTTTTATATGCCACCGAGCATTACTATAACGATTTGTGCTCGAGTATGTTGTCTGGTCAATTTTTTTTATTTTTTATTTTTATGAGTGGTTGTGTAGGCCAAAGCTTTGGGTACTTGCTCGGGGCAAGGCTTTGGGTACTTGCTCGGGACAAGGTTTTAGGTACTTGCGCGGGGCAAGGCTTTGAATGCTTGCGCAGAGCAAGGCTTTTTAGGCGCTTGCGCGGGGCAAGGCTTTGAGTGCATGCACGAGGCAAGGCTTTTAGTGCTTGCTCGGGGCAAGGATTTTTGAGTTGCTTGCACGAGGCAAGGTTTTTGGTGTTTGCTCGGGGCAAGACTTTAGGTGCTTACACGGGGCAAGGCTTTTTGAGTTGCTTGCACGGGGCAAGACTTTTGGTGCTTGCTCGGAGCAAGGCTTTTGATAAGAAGATCATATTTCAATGAATAGCTTAATTCTTATTGTGCTTTGAAAATAGACTTAGCTCGCAGGCCTGACAACTGAAAACGTGAACCTTGGCACGCAGGCCTGACTAACAAAAATAAGACTTGGCACGCAGGCTCGAGAACTAAAAATGTGAACCTTAGCATGCAGGCCTGACTACTGGGAATTGATTACCTGTAATAATTTTTAAATTTTCGGTGTTCCATGGTCTTGGAAGTGGTCTTCCTGATGTATCCCTTAAACTGTATGCACCTCCTTGAAGCTGTCGTATGATTTCGAAGGGCTATTCCCAAACTGGTTCTAGCTTGCCCGGAGCATGACCTGCTGCTTCGGCCTTTCTTAACACAAGGTCTATGGTCTTGAATCTCCGTGTCCTCACTTTTTTATTGAAATACTTTGTTGTTCTATCTTGGTAAGAGGCCATTCTTAAAGCTGCCTGATTGTGAACTTTTTCCAAGAGGTCAAGGTGTTCAGTGGTGCATCCTGCACCTTCGGGCTCAAGTCTTCTTTGGCTGGGCAACCTGACTTCAATAGGGATGGTGGCTTCAATACCGAAAGCCAACATGAAGAGGGTTTCCCCGTAGCAGTTTTGTGGGACGTTCTATATGTCCAAAGTATGGAGGATAACTCGTCAGACCAGGAACCTCTTGCATCTCCGATCCTTGTACGGAAGTCTTGTAATATAATCCGATTGGTTATTTCGGCAAGACCATTACTTTGAGGATGGGAAACTGATGTTAGACGGTGATCGATCCCTAGGTTAGAACAGAAGTTTTTAAATTGTGCATTGTCAAACTACCTGCCATTATCAGTTATGAGGACTTTCGGTATCCCGAACCTGCATATGATGGATCTCCAAATGAAACTTCTCAACTTAGGCTCTGAAATTGTTGCTAAAGCCTCGGCCTCAATCTACTTAGTGAAGTACTCTACAGCCACAACCACAAACTTCAATTTTCCCCTAGTTATTGGAAAGGGACCAAGGATGTCAATAACCCACTGCTCAAATGGGGCTGTGCAACTAATGCTAGTGAGGTCCTCTGTGGATGGCATTGCCAAATCTTTGGCACTTGTCACACTTCTTGACATATTCCTGGGCGTTTTTTTCATGGTTGGCCAATAATATCTGTTACGTGTTATCATACTTGGCCAATCGACGTGGGCCTATGGCCCACTCAATCCGAACCACGTGGCACTCTAGCCAAAGTGGGCTAAATGGCCGATGCCCTTTATGCCGAAGCTAGTGAAACTAATTGAGCCTCATCTGTCGAGGCCTGTGAAGATTACCGAAGCCCTATAGCGAAAGTACTACGTGTTTGACAGAAGCCTTAAACATGAAGTAGAAGCCTCCGAACCATGAAGCGACGTCTTTCATGGTCACTTCTCCCAAGAGATCTCCTACATAAGGATCTGGTTAGAATGATTGATGGAACGTTTGTCATAAGTACATATGTCAGGTCTTATTACTAGCATGGGGGCTCTGCACAAGCAATAAATGCACAGCAAGCTAGCTAGTCAAGAGTGATACCTAGGATTGTATGTTTGAATTGAGAAGATGAGGCCACGTGTTACCTCGTCTAAGGGCTGTCATTTCACATGTAACACTATAAATACTTCCTTTGTATAACATCGAAAGGCTAATGCAAGAATCAATACAAAAAAATCACATTTTATTCTCTGATTATCTTTACAATATAATACGAGTTCACACACATTTACATTCACTTTCATGAGCACTGATTGGTAATTATTGTACAATCGGATTAAGAACGTCCCATCTGATTCCGAAAGTTCTTGTCCCGCGTCGTTGAGCTGCTCCCACGCGCTTGATTCGTTCGTTCTAGACCGTCCACGTGTCTTAGCGTGTAGGACCTTCGCTCACGTGTGCGCGGGTGGGTCCGGCATCTGTTGGCAACACTTTTTGGGGTCAATAGATTGACACAGTCTGTGGGAAACCATACTATAATTACGAACAACCTTGTGGTGGAAGCTTATTGAAGAACATTTGGGCACACCCTTGAAAAAGGATTTGTTCTTGAAAAAGAACAAGAGGAAGCCCCACAACTTAGCAAAATCTGAAGTCAGACGAAAATAAAATGAGTTTAAACGAAGACACACCCCCCAGGAGGGTAAGAGAAAACGCAAATGTACCTCCTCCACCTGCTGCCCCAGCAGCTCGGCAAAGACTCCACCACCACCAAAGAAGAGGTGGAATGTGGGTAACGGCCCGACTGTCAAGAGAAATGGCTGCCATGGCGGCCAAAATGAGAGACATTGCTAGCCAAAACTTGGCTATGAGGGAGCTCATGGCCCAAATACAAGGCCAGGGGAGCTTCCCCATTCCTCCATACGCCCCTCAGGGGCACTACTAGCAAGAAGACGAAATTCAAAGTTATAGAACTGCCTCGTCGGACTATAGCCGAGGTAGAAGCCCATTTGAAAGGGAAGTGGAAGTTGATGTTTCCTCCAACTACGCTTCTGGTCGACCCACCGAGGTCCCATTGAACCATGATAACTTCCCACCTCCATATGAGCAAGAGTCAAGACATAGGAGGGCAGGCAGTGTATTTGACAGAATCAGCCCCGCTAAACCGAGACTTAGGCAACAACAGACACATCAGCCTTAGATAAGACTGCAGCCTCCACCTCCGATGCCCAAGCGACCAGAAGAAAGGCATGAAAATGTCCTCCATGTTGCTCCGCCTAGAAATAGGCGCTAGAGGAGGGAGGAAGAGGCTAGGAACCGTCCTGAAATATCTCACCAACAACCACGGCAAGAGGCCGAGGAATATGATTCAGATGAACAGCAGAGGTCCTGTGACTTGGACGATGACGATGAGAATCTGCCGTTCTCAAGGGAACTAAGAAATGCCCAGGTTCCAAGTCACTATGTAATGCCAAAGATACCAAAGTATGATGAAAGAGGCAACCTGGAGAAGCACCTAAATTCTTATAAAACCCACATGAGCCTAAGGGGGGCCACCCCAGCTATGAAGTGCAGAGCTTTCCATTCAACACTTAGTGGAGCGGCTGAAATATGGTATAGCAGGTTGCCACCGGGGAGCATAAGAAGCTGGCCCGAGTTCAAGACAACATTCTTGAAGAGGTTCGCGGTAAGCAAAGAAGGAGAGGCCCCCATCTAGCGTCTCCAAGACATGAGACAAGCACATGTGGAATCCCTAAAGAGCTTTCTATCTCACTTCACAGACGAAATGATGTATTACGTGCAAGTCACCGACCGTGAGGCACTATCTGCTTTAAGGGGAGGCCTGAACATGAATACCTTATTCTGGAGGAACGTGCAAAATCAAGGTCCCACCACCTATGATGCCCTACTCGAGATGATGAGACGGGAAATCATCAATGAAGAATTGATTGAGCATAGGAACAAGGCAGGTAGAGGCCTCCCACCTCCTCAGAGGCAGCGTGCTAGAGGGCCGACTTCCCCCCTGATGGACTACCAAATGAACCAGGCTGGAAATGAGAGTTCTGGCCAAGCATTTGCCACCACCACTTTGAACGCGGTTCCTACCTTGGCATTTGAGGATATCAACCCAATCACTAACACCCATCAGATGGAAACCCCCCAAGGATCCCGTAGAGGGAGAGGTCGAGACCGGGGTTAGGGACCTAGAAATAGGTCGAATCAGAATCCGCCAGGATACTGTGTACACCACAGGTCCTATGGACACGACACAACAGATTGCCGAGACTTTGCGCACCGCTCCAGGGCGGAACCCCCCAGGCACAAAAATGAATCGCCCCAAACAAACAGGCCCCCGCCCATGCACGACAACCAAAGTGGGCGCGAAGAGGTTGTCCCTCGTCAAAGGGATGTTTTTCCCACGACGAAGGGAGCGTGATACAGAGAGGCTCAGGGAAGGGCACAGGCACCAAAGAAATCGACAAGTCCAGAATGAAGCTCCTATGCACGAGATAGATACCATATTTAGAGGCCCGTATGTTGGTGGTGAAACACGAAACGCCAAAAGGAATTACGCCCGGGAGGCTAAACACCCCCCTTTGACAAGTTACATTGTGGATAGCAACTCCCGGAGGAACCAAGTTCCACCTATTATCTTCACTCAGGAAGACGCCGAAGGAGTTCACTTCCCCCATTGCGATGCACTTGTTGTGAGGGTCGTCATAGCCCGAAATGGGCTCAAGCGAATGTTAGTTGACAACGGTAGTTCTGTCAACATTCTATTCCAATCCGCGTTTGACAAGATGATATTGGATCATCAGTTGACACCCACCACGACTCCTCTGTATGGATTCACAGGAGATAGCATCACTCCAAGGGAAAAGATAACGCTTGCATTGGAGATGAGAGAGTCTCCCCAAGCTACAATAAACTTCATGGAGTTCCTCATTGTCGACAGTCGATCGCCTTACCATGGAGTATTAAGTAGGCTATCCCTAAAAGAATTGGAAACAGTCACCTCTATCCACCACCTATGCATGAAATTTTCGACGAAAAATGGGGTAGAAACGGTGAGAGGTGACCAAAGAGGGCCGGGAGAGTGCTATCTAAGCTCCATCAAAAAGGTAGAACCCCGGGACGTCCATGTAATCATAGCCAATATAGTCATGGCTGACGTCCCAGGTTTCACGGGGTGCCTTTCTTCTTGGCACAGAAAGGGACACCGTGCGGCAGTAGTCTGCTCCGCTAGACTACCTTCCGCCTTTTCTCGGTCGCGTCGGGACGAAAGAAAATTTGATTGCAATTTTGTAGAAAGCTTACAATTGAGAATTTGAATACATTGAAAGTAAATTGAACATTGATTGCTGAAAACTGAACATTACAATTGATGAAAGCAGAAAATTACAAATGCTGGTGCAGGGGGCGGACACCAGTGAGCTTGAAAGATTTTTGAATGACTAATACCCCCTATAATAGCATTCTGAACAAAAACCCAAGTGACGGGAGTAGACGTTTAAAAGACGAGGAATCATACTAATCTTTTACCAATATCAGAGCTATTTTACAATTAAAATAACTATTACAATGAAACGAAAATTACAACTCAAACTTGAAGTAATATTTACAATGTGCGGCCGAAGTTGGGCAAACTGCGGCTGCGATAGTGTCAAGGGGCTAAGTAAAGCTGCGGTCCTTGACACCAGGTGATGCTCCCACTGAACCAGAAGATATCGATATGATAGATGCACTACCCAATCCAGAGGTCTTGGTCATTGACGAGATCGATCCCCGCATAATTGAACACGAACCTCAAGCATCCCCAGTCGAGGAACTTGAGAACTTCTCGGTGAACCCCCGAGACCCATCCAAGATGCTGAGAGTAGGCAAGGGCTTATCCAACACTCTGAAGGAAAAGATTAAAGATTTCCTAAGTAAGAACCTTGATGTCTTTGCTTGGAAGCGTGAGGACATAGTAGGCATAGACCCCAAGGTCAGTTGCCACCACCTGAAGGTCGATCCTAAGGTTGCCCCACACAGGCAGAAAAGGAGAGCCCTCAATCCTGAAAGGTACGAGGCTCTAAAGGAAGAGGTTCAGAAGCTCATCCAAAACGGCTTTATCAGGGAAGCTACCTGTCCTAGGTGGGTCTCCAACCTGGTTTTGGTAAAGAAACACAATGACAAGTGGAGGTTGTGCATTGATTTCACTAACCTCAACAGAGTTTGCCCGAAAGACAGCTTTCCTCTCCCAAGGATTGACCAACTAGTAGACTCCACGGTTGGGCACAAGTTGTTGAGCTTCATGGACGCATACTTCGGCTACAACCAAATACCCATGCTCCCGATCGATGAGGAGCACACTTCTTTCATCACAGATCGAGGCCTCTATTGTTATAGGATGATGCCCTTCGGGTTGAAAAATGCCGGAACAACTTATCAAAGGCTCGTCAACAAAATGTTTATGGACCTCATCGGCAAGACGATGGAGGTATACGCGGATGACATGTTGGTAAAAAGTCTGGAGGCTAAGGACCACATAACGCATCTCAACAGCACATTCCAGATCTTGAGAAGATATAGGATGAGGCTCAACCCCCTCAAGTGCGCCTTTGGAGTGGCTTCCGGCAAATTCTTGGGATACATGGTCAATCAACGCGGAATTGAAGCCAACCTGGAGAAGATTGAGGCCTTATAAAAGATGAGGTCTCCCCAAAATCCAAAGGACGTGCAAAGTTTGACTGGGCGGGTAGCCGCACTTAGCCGCTTCGTCTCCAAAGTTATAGAGAAATGCCTCATGTTTTTCAAAGTGTTGAAAGTTGGGAAGAAGTTCCAATGGAATGAGGAATGTGAAGAGGCCTTCCAAGGCCTGAAAAGGCACCTGGGGCAGGCCCCCCACGTCTCCAAATCGAAGCCTGGAGAAATCCTACAACTATACCTGGCCGTCTCAAATGAGGCCATCAGTTCGGTTCTGACTCGAGAAGAGGGAACCACCCAACTTCCAGTTTACTATACAAGTAAAGCACTCCTATCGTCGGAAACCCGTTACCCCGATATGGAGAAGCTCGCTTTGGCCTTGATCACGGCTTCCAGGAAACTAAGACCCTACTTCCAAGCTCACACCATCCACGTGCTGACAAACTTTCCCGTAAGGCAAGTGCTCTAAAAGCCTGATGTCTCAGGAAGATTATTGAAGTGGGCAGTGGAGCTAAGCGAATTTGACCTCGTGTTCAAGGCTAGGGCAGCCATCAAGGGTCAGGCCTTGGCTGACTTTGTGGCAAAATTCACCAACTTACCCGACATAGATGAAATCATGGAACCTGTCAAGCCCCCTACATGGAATTTATTCGTGGATGGGTCGACTGGAGACGCCGGCTCAGGTGCTGGAGTGGTCCTCATCAGCCCTGAAGGTCACAAGCTAAACTCGGTAATAAGGTTCGGGTTCAAGGCCACAAACAATGTAGCAGAATACAAGGCACTACTTGCAGGCCTCAGACTGGCCAAGGAAATGCAAGTAAAGAGGCTCCTCATAAGCAGTGACTCCCAGCTTGTTGTTAGCCAAGTGAATGGTAACTTCTTAGCCAAGGACAAAACAATGGCCTTATACCTGAAAATGGTGATGGACCTCATCCCATCCTTTGAAAAATTCGAACTAACCTAGATCCCCAGTATAAAAAATTCTCATGCGGATGCACTCTCCAAGCTCGCTAATAGCAAGGATTCAGAACTACTCACGGTAGTACCTATAGAGCACCTCTCCCTACCATTGATCGAGGCCCCCAATGTCATGTGGGTCGCTGGGACCCCTACTGGATGCAGTCGATTGTAGCATACCTTAAAGACCAGGTACTTCCCACTGACAAGCTTGAGGCCTACAAGCTAAGGAGGAGGTCAGCCCACTTCCTCTTCATTGATGATGTTCTCTATAAGAGAAGCTTTTCCTCTCCACTCTTACGGTGCGTCGGAGGAGAATAGGCTAATTACATATTAAGAGAAGTCCATGAGGGCGTGTGCGGCAATCACTCTGGAGGTCTATCTTTAGCATAAAAAATATTGAGGCAGGGGTACTACTGGCCTACCCTGAAAAGGGACACCCTCCAGTTTGTACGAAAGTGTGACAAATGCCAACGATTCTCTTCGGTACAAAGACAACCATCACAGGATTTGACTGTGGTCTCCAGCCCTTGGCCTTTCTCGAAGTGGGGTGTGGACCTCATAGGTCCTCTACCTAAAGGTAGAGGAGGTGCAAGCTTTGCAGTTATGGCCATCGATTACTTTACAAAATGGGTTGAGGCCGAACCACTGGCAAAAATTACAGAAGCAAACACTTCCAAGTTCTTATGGAAGAATATTATATGCCGGTTCAGGATTCCCTACTCGATTGTCTCATACAATGGTAGACAATTCGACAACAAGAAGGTCAGAGAACTATGCGAGGAACTTGACATCAAGAAGCATTTCTCCACACCTCACCACCCACAAGCAAATGGCCAAGTTGAGGTTGTCAACAAAACAATCAAACATATCCTAAAAAGGAAGCTTGATGTGTCGAAGGGGGCCTAAGTGGATGAGCTGCCACAAGTACTTTGGGCGATCCGAACCACCACGAGGACCCCAACTGGGGAAACACTCTTCCTCATGGCATTTGGAACTGATGCAATGAGCCCCGTTGAGGTCGGACTACTGTCTCCAAGACGTCTGCATTTTAGTGAGATGACAAATGACAAGCTTAGGAGGTACGACCTCGATTTCATTGAAGAAAGAAGAGATGAATCCCAGTTGAAGCTCGGTACATATCAAAGGAAGATGACGAGGTACTTCAACTTAAAGGTCAAGAAGAGATCATTACAAATCAACGACTTGGTCCTTAGAAGAGTTTTCCTTTCCTCAAAGGAACTTGGTTCTAGTTCCTTGGGTCCGAACTGGGAAGGCCCATATAAAATTAAAGAAGAGATTTGGCCTGAGACTTATTGAATTGAAGACATGAACGGCAAGGCCCAACCCCGTCCATGGAACATCGAGCACCTCAGAATCTATTACCAACGAATGTACAACCACGTTGGAGGACCTTTCCCAGCTCCTGTAACATTTCTATGGTTCAATAAAATTATATGATTAAATTAACGTGTCGCATTCCGACCTCACCTCGAAGGAGAGGCAAGCGTCCGTTTCTAGGCCACCTCACTTGAACTCCGAGGTTCATGCACATGCCTCCCTGTTGACGGGGCTGAACGTCAAGGGATAAGCCTCAACATGACTGCACCATCCACCATGTTGGGAAGCGTCGTCACCTTGGAGGAGAGGCAAGCGTCCGTTTCTGGGCCACCTCGCTTGAACTCCGAGGTACATGCACATGCCTCCCTTTTGACGGGGCTGAACGTCAAGGGAGAAGCCTCAACATGACTGCACCATCCACCATGTTGGGAAGCGTCGTCACTTCGGAGGAGAGGCAAGTATCCGTTTCTGGGCCACCTCGCTTGAACTCCGAGGTGCATGCACATGCCTTCCTTTTGACGAGGCTGAATGTCAAGGGAGAAGCCTCAACATGGCTGCACCATCCACTATGTTGGGAAGCGTCGTCACCTCGAAGGAGAGGCAAGCGTCCGTTTCTAGGCCACCTCGCTTGAACTCCGAGGTGCATGCACATGCCTACTTTCTGACGAGGGTGAACGTCAAGGGAGAAGCCTCAACATGGCTGCACCATCCACCATGTTGAGAAGCGTCGTAACCTCAGAGGAGAGGCAAGCGTCCGTTTCTGGGCCACCTCGCTTCAAATCCGAGGCTCTTACACGAATCAGAATAAAATTTCAAGTTCGGCTGCAACGATTTATTCTTAAAACCTCCTCAGGTTATGGCTATTAAGCTTGAGTACAATTCATTTGCTTAAATCCAATATTGATCATAACTTTCATGCGATTTATTTGTTAAAGTGATTGGAGTTAGGATACCCAATTAAAGTTGTTTAGTTCTTCAGTCAATATTGTGATCAATTACTTAGCAAGGCCAACACGCTTCAAAGAAATGAACAACATTAAATGAAAGAGATATTATATTAATTTTCAATGGAAAATACAAAGGAGGGCCTGAGGCCAGTACATCATCAATGACTGAAAAGAAAACTATCCTAAGCCTGGGAGGGTGATGGAGGCACTTCAGCAGCTGGGACTTCCGCAGCTTGAGCGTCAGAAATTGCTTCTCCTGCCTCTGCTGCTCTATCTCCCACCGCCTCACCGGCTGGGGTTTGAGGCACCTCATCCACAAACTCTGACCTGAGTTGCGACAGGTCCTGAGTTGGGTACAACTCCTTAGCCCGCTCCATCACCTCGGCGTAAGCAAAGTTCCTCCAGTAGGTGCTGAAGCTCTGGTACTCTGCAGTGTTGTGGAAATTGGCAATATAGTCCTTCACTACCTTCTCCCTTGCATTTTGGGCTTCCTCCCTAACATGGGTTGCATCATCGACATACCACTTAATTTGGCCCTCGATGAACTTGTACGCATCTTGGGCCCCTGCCAGCTCCAGGTTAGCCTTCTCCAAGGCTTCAACTGTCACCCTTTGGTGGTCATTGGAATCCTCCACCTTCTTTGTCAATGAGGCTACCTCGCACTGGGACTCATGCACCTCCCTCTTCAACGCCTCTATCTGAGCTAAGGAAGACTTTAGCTTGGCCGATTCTTCAAGTTTTTGGGCCCTGGCATCTTCAGCTTCAGCCCTAGCTGCCTTCAGCTCCTCTGCAAGGGATGCAGCCTTCTTCTCAGAGGACAGGGTCCTCATCTGCAAGTCAGTAAGAGCCTCCCTGTACTCCAGTGCGAGACCAAAGGTCCTAACACTTTGGCTCACAAGAGCCCTGGTCAAATCCGTCGCATCACAGGAGGAGACGTGCGGCTGCCACCGATCCATCCAGAATCTTAAAAACTTTCTGTGGCGTTTCGAATCTCAGGTGGCAGGGCCTCCACCAAAGCTAGGGCCAGAGGCTCCTCCCTGCCGGCAAAGAAGCTCGGAGAATTGCCTTGTACTCAAACAGGTTTCTCTTTGACAGCCTTCCTTGCAGCCTCTTCTCTCACCTCATCAGCCTCTGCACGCCTGACCATTTCAATCTTAATCGCTTTCGAGGCGGCTTCCAGTAGCTTCGGCGGTCCGGCTTCTTTGCCTTGGGACACAGAACTCTCAAATTTCCCAGACGAGCTGGAGATGTGCACGAGTTTCCTTTTCTTCGGCTCCTCAGGGACTTTCTCCTTCCCCTGAGGCTCCTTGGCCTTCTCTGGCCTCTGGGGGGTCTCCTCTTCGAAAGCCCGCGAGGTGCTGTCCTTGGAGAATCGTTCAACTCTGTCTCGAACCTCCTTGGCACCACTTGACCCCGGCTTCAGGGGCCTCGCCTTCACAGTGGAAGTTGCCCTCAGTATGTACGCCATGTCAGGAGCTGGGTACTCCTTCCTCTTGAACTTATCTATTGAACACAGTGCGTCAGTACCAAAATGAAAACACAAAAAATATGCAAGTGTGAAAGCTTCATACCCTTGGAGGCCATCAGTTCGAAGTCCAGGAAATAGCGACTTCTGTCGATGAGGTGGTCGAAGTGGCGAAACTTTAGAGGTCTCTTGTAAATATCCTCTATCACTTCAAACTCTTCCCAGCTCAGCTCGAACCTTGTACTGCAATCTGCAAACGAGGCATCAATAGTTAGACAAAATTAAAGCTAAAAAATGAATGCAAAGTACTAGGGTGGGAGACTCACGAGCTTCGTAGTACTGGGTTGGTACTGTGAAAGACAGGACTTTGTCTCCCTCCACTGCCTTCCATTTGCCCCTAACCCAGAAACACGACTCCTTCCACCCCTTTATGGAAGAAGGCAGCCCCACCACAAAAGGTGCATGAAAGAGGGTCATAAAAACGTATTATCCCTTGGACTCAGAGTCAAGTAATACCATCCCTTGGACTTCTTACCTATTATCCTATGCTGAAAGAGGGTCATAAAAACGTGAAGAGGCATATCCTCCCCAAGCGACACTTCCTTCCACAGAAAGTACGAGCCGACCAACTGGCTCTACCCATTTGGCAGAACCTGGGTCGGCGACAACATGAAGTTCCTTAGCACAGCCCTGAAGAAGGGGTGCAGAGGAAGACGCATACCTGCCTTAAATAAATATTCGCTCACTGCCACGCACCCCGGCCTCGAATAACAGGCTCGCTCATAGGCCTCGGGGACTAGCATCTCCACATAATGAGGTACACAGTACCTCTCCCTTATCTCCCCCAACCTCTTCGATGTCATATTCGAAGGGACTCTAGACGCCCCCCACTCTACATTGTAATCTACCTCCTTCTCGGTCATAGCAATCTGTTCAACCTCGGAGTTCCCCCTATAACTAGACCCCCGACCAAACAATGCGACAGTGACCAACTCCCTACCTGAAGTCGACTCCATCTCAGAAAGCAACTAAGAACACAATAAGAGGATTTTCTGTGAAAAATACCTACTAAAAAACTACGCGAACACAGTTGCCGGAAAAGCAGTGGATGGAATTGTCTCAACGCCAGAATGCCTAAGCTCTAAGAGGAAAAATCAGATTGCGAGTGCTGAAAAATTCTAAAAATGGGAGTTCTCACCTTTTATAAAGGATCCAGACGAACTCCTACCCGTCAGATCGAATCTCATTCAATCTGAACCCTTCAATTTAAATCAAATCCGAGGCGTAGAATTCAAACAGTTTTTTAAACCTACGCCTCAGATTTAAGCGTGTCCTCCACGCATCTCATCCAACGCGTCTGCTTCTAAAAGCTCCAGCTGTTCTAATAATTATGATTTTAATTTGACGACGGCAGGTACTTTGGAAGTCGCAATGGTTCAGCCAGTTTTCCTCGAAAACATGCGCAAAACATCAAATCATTGGCACAACAGTCGAGACACAATTATTGTCAATAAACCTCAGCTTCATCTCCAACGTTCAGCCGTCAAGCTTCGCAGGTTCGGTTCGGCTTCATCTCCAACATTCAGACATCAAGCCTCGCAGGTTCGGTTCCCTAACCACCTCAGCTTCATTTCCAACATTCAGCCATCAAGTCTTGCAAGTTCGGTTCCCCAACCACCTCGGCTTCATCTCCAACATTCAGCCATCAAACTTCGTAGGTTTGGTTTCCTAACCACCTCGGCATAATCCTCGGCTTTTTCATCATTCACCCACAACAACACATTCCTAACTCCAACCATGATATAAATATCTATACTTGGACTTGGGGGACTATTATTCGGGTTATAAAATTATTTCAATCTTTACCCAACCCACTGGCTTTACTTCCTTAAAGTCTACGCATTACATAAATAAATGACTATATTTGGACTTGGGGGACTATTGTTGCATGTTGTCATACTTGGCCAACCGACGTGGGCCTATGGCCCACTGAATCCGAACCACGTGGCACTCTAGCCAAAGTGGGCTAAATGGTCGACGCCCTTTATGCCGAGGCCCATATGCCGAAGCTAGTGAAACTAACCGAGCCTCATCTGTCGAGGCCTGTGAAGATTGCTGAAGCCCTATAGCGGAAGTACTACGTGTCTGGCAGAAGCCTTGGATCTGAAGCAGAAGCCTTCGAACCATGAAGGGACGTTTTCCATGGTCACATCTCCCAAGAGATCTCCTACATAAGGATCTGGTTAGAATGATTGATGGAACGTTTGTCATAAGTACATATGTTAGGTCTTATCACTAGCATGGGGGCTCTGCACAAGCAATAAATGCGCAGTAAGCTAGCTAGTCAAGAGTGATACCAAGGATTGGAAGTTTGAATTAAGAAGATGAGGCCATGTGTCACCTCATCTAAGGGCTGTCATTTCACATGTAACACTATAAATACTTCTCTTGTATAACATCGAAAGGCTAATGCAAGAATCAATACAAAAAATCACATTTTACTCTCTTATTATCTTTACAGTATAATACGAGTTCACACACATTTACATTCACTTTCATGAGCACCGATTGGTAATTATTGTACAATCGGATTAAGAATGTTCTGTCAGCTTCCGAACGTTCTTGTCTCGCGTCGTTGAGCTGCTCCCACGTCCTTGATTCGTTCGTTCTAGACCGTCCACGTGTCTTAGCGTGTAGGACCTTCGCTCACGTGTGCGTGGGTGGGTCCGACATCTGTTGGCAACATTTTTTGGTGTCAACAATATCCATACCTTATGAGCTTGAAGGCTAATGCTCGAGCTCCTTGACGGTTTCCACATATTCCTTCATGAACTTCTTCTAGGGCCTAGGATGATTCGGAAGGTCTAAGGCATCTGAGGTATGGAAGTGTGAGGCTCCTGAGAAATAAAACTTCTTCAATCATGCAATACCTTGGAGCTTTGGACCGGATGCTTCTTGCTGCTCGAGGATCTTCTAGAAGATTGCCATGTTTTATGAAGTCCACTATTGGGTCCATCCATGATGGCTCATTATCAATATCCATGACGTCTACGGTCTGATTAACGCTTGGCTCGGTTACAATTCTAACGTGGACTGTCTTATCAAGCCCATCTGTTCCCATGAACACCAATCTTGACAAGGCATCGGCCTTACAATTCTTAGCCCGGGTAATTTTCACAATTTCACAACTCTTGAATTTTCTCTGGAGATCATGTACTTTCAAACAGTATAAGCTCATCTTCTCGTCCTTCTTATTGAACGTCCCTTTAATTTGTCCAACCACCAACTGGGAATCACTGTAAATTTTGATATTTTCAAGCTCGAGATTGATGGCGAGTTCCATGGCTATGATGACGGCCTCATACTCTGCTTCATTATTGGTCGCTTCAAATTCGAACCTGAGTGCACACTGAATGTTTATGAGCATGTTCGGGCTTATGATTATGACCCCTGCACCCGAGCCCGAGGAGTTTGATGCTCCATCTATGAAAATTTGTCACATGCCTGTGGTCTAGCTCGAGCTACCATCTAGCCCCTGAGGCCTTGGGGTGAGTTCTACAATGAAGTCTGCTAAGGCCTGAGCTTTGATAGAAGGACGGGGCTTGAATTCTATGTCAAATTCTCCAAGTTCAATTGCCCACCTCAGCAGTCTTCCTAAAACGTCTGGTTTCTGAAGAATGTGTTTTAGAAGCCGATTGGTGAGCACTACAATAGGATGTGACTGAAAATATTGCCGAAGTTTTCGTGCTACCACTATCAGTGCAAGGGCAAGTTGTTCTGCCAAAGTGTATCTTGTTTCTGCATCAAGTAGGACTTTGCTTACGTAATTAATGGGTTGTTGGGCCCTGTTAACCTTTTTCACCAAGACACCACTCACTGCATTCTGAGATACGGCTAAGTATAAATAAAGAGTATCCCCAGGCTCGGGTTTAGTGAAGATAGGAGGAGACTCCAATGTCTATTTGAGCTCTTGAAAAGCCTTCTCGCAATCCTCATTCCATTCAAAGCAATGATTACCCCTGAGGGCTTTGAAGAAGGGGAAGCACCTGTCTGCTGCTCGGGACATGAACCTGTTTAAGGCGGCTACTCTGCCTGTCAACTTTTGAACTTTTTTCTTGGTCTTTGGTGATTCCATTGCTGCCAAAGCCTGAATCTTGTCAGGGTTGGCCTCAATCCCTCGATGAGTGATCATGAAACCCAGAAACTTTCCCGAAACTACACCGAATACACACTTCTTTGGGTTGAGCTTCATCTTATATTTTCGTAGGGTGACGAACACTTCCTTCAGGTCGGATATGTGTTCCTCTACCTTCTTACTCTTTACAACCATGTCGTCTACATAAGCCTCGATGTTCTTACCTATCAAATTTGCAAAGACTTTGTTGACGAGCCTCTGATATGTCGCCCCAGCATTTTTCAACCCAAATGGCATCACTCTATAGCAATATATGGCTGAATCAGCCATGAATGAAGTCTTCTCTTGGTCTTCCTTAGCCATGAGAATTTGATGATACCCTGAGAATGCATCTAAGAAGCTGTACAGCTTATGTCCGGATGTGCTATCCACAAGATTGTCAATCCTAGGTAGCGGGTAGCTGTCTTTCGGGTACGCCTTATTAAGGTCTGTGAAGTCAATGCAGACCCTCCATTTACCACTGGCCTTTTTCACTAGAACAACATTAGCGAGCCAATCGGGGTATTGGACTTCCCTTATGAACCCCGCTCTCACCAATTTGCCGATTTCTTCTTGAATGACCACACGTCTTTCCGGCGCAAACTGCCTCTTCCTCTGCTTAACAGGTTTGGCCCCTGGGCTGATATTGAGTTTATGGACAGTGACTTCTGGGTCTATCTCGGGCATATCCTCTACCTTCCATGCAAAAACATCGATGTTTCGGGTCAGACAATCGATGATTCCCTCCCGAAGGTCAACCCGGAGATCCTGACCAATAGTGACGGCTTTCCCATGCTCGAGCTCAACCACCTCTAATTCCTCAACGGGGGCCAATCCGTCCCTTGGCTCGAGCTCAAGGTTTGAAAGTTGCATGACGTCTGTACTCATTCCTCGGATGCTGGTAACATAGCACTGTCTGGCAGCCATTTAGTTTCCTCTAACTACTCCGATGCCATGACCTGTGGGGAACTTCATGGCAAGGTGGAATGTTGATACAATAGCCTGGATCTTGTTCAGTAGGGGTCTTCCCAGAATGATGTTATAGGCCATTGGGGTGTTAACCACTTGGAATGGCGTGATCTCCGTTACTTGTGTATTACCAGATCCTAATGTAAGCGGGAGCTCGACGATGCCCTCAGGGATAATGACTCCACCACCAAATCCCTATAGGGGAGTCTTTACTGCTTTGAGCTGTTTTGGAGAGATCCCTATTTTGGCGAAAGCCTCCTGCGACAGTATGTTCGTTGCACTCCCATTATCAACCAGAATCCTCCTTACTTCGAAGTTAGCCACAACCGCCGAGACGACCAAGGCATCGTCATGAGGATATGATATTCCTTCCAAATCTCTTGCTCCGAAAGTGATGTCTTTGACTTCGTCACGGGATTCTCTTGGGGTATGAGCATGTTGGCGGGCATACTGCTTTCGACCACTACTTGTGTCTCCACCGGATGCTATGCCCCCAACGATAATACTAATGGTTCCGGCAGTTGGTTGAGCACTGCTTCCGACCCCAGGCTCTTTTCGATTGTCACGGTCATTCCTTGGTCGTTTATCATGACCAATGTAATTCTTTAAAAATCCTTTTTTGATAAGGGCTTCAATTTCTCGCTGTAAAGCATGACAATCCTCTATAGTATGCCCATGATCCCGATGAAATTCGCAATACTTGCTCCTATCTCTTGTGTCAAGGGGCGACTTCATCCTTGAAGGCCACTTTAATTCTTTCATATCCCTAACCTCCATCAAAATGTTTGTCTTAGAGGTGTTCAACCGAGTGAGAGGTGCTGATGGCACCTCGTTCCTGCGCTTATCCAGGGGAACCTCATGCCGGGAGACGGGATCATGTTGCCTCTTATTCTCGATCTTTTCATGAGAAGGACCAGGTCTCATTGGATTTAGTGTTTCCTTCATATTAATGTATTTTTCAGCTCGGGTGAGGAGATCGGTCACTATCTGCGGCGGGGTCTTTGATAAAGAGATCTTGAAAGCTTCATATCTTACGGCGTAAGTGAGGGCGGAGACAGCTGCTGTGATGTGAAGGTCGGGTATTTGAAGCCTTTCCTTGTTAAACCTTGTCATAAATCCTCGTAGGGTTTCAGTTGGTCCCTGGCGAAGCTGCATCAGAGAGGCTGCGGTCTTCTTGATTCGCTTGCTACTTGCAAAGAAGGATGAGAACTTATCAGCCAAATCTGAGAATGAGGCTATGGAGTTGGGCTCCAATGTTGAGAACCAATCTCTAGCAGCATTAGTCAGTGTTTGTGGAAAGGCTTTGCACATAACCTGATTCGGCGCAACTTGCAAGTTCATGACATTAGTGTATACATTGAGATGGTTGATGGGGTCGGTCGTCCCATCATACTCTTTAATACGAGGATATTTGAATTTGTCGGGCAAAGGATATGACAATATCTCTGGTGTGAATGGAGTGTTAGGGGTGAAACCTGTTGGCCCCCGAGCATTACGTTACAGGCCAGCTGTAATTCCTTCTTGAATGATCCGGGCAATTTCACCGGAATCCACGGCGATCGATCTCGAGCCCGAGGCCATATTATGAATACCCGAGGTTCCTACTCTGCCATTTGCGGGGTTTGGTGGTCGTGCTCGAGCATCGGCCATAAAATCGCCATGCTCCGCCTACGCTAGCGACGGATGTGAATTCCTTTGACTTAACAGTTGTGTGAGCGTGGCTACCTGTTGACGGACTCTTCAAAGGCTTCGATTGTGATGACCGCTGGCAGAGGTGCGGGCACTCCTGAGGATTCTTCATGAGGAGCCAGTTGATCTTTGGCAGGATGAGGGATGGGAGCGAATGAGTTTGCGAGAGGAAGATCTGATCGTGTGTTAACCATGGCTTTTCTTAGCGTTTCCCACAGACGGCGCCAATGATGCTACCAAAAATCGTACCTCTAGATTTCCCGAGCTTGATGATTCGGATTGAGCACGATCGTAATCTTTTGGTACCTGAAACAAAAGGCAACGAGGTGTGTTCTCGTCGCCCCTCTGTTGCTTAAGTCAGAAAGAGAATTATAAATGTGAGGCTATAAACTGGAGGATAATGAATAACGTACCTGAATGATGGTCCAAGGTTCTATATTTATAGAGGAAGGTAGTGTACTCCTAGTAGGATTGTGCCGGTTGGATGTTTTTATTCAATGGAATCCCATTTGTAAGGAATGTCCTACTCGTAATGGAATTGTCTGATAAGTGGTGTAAGAGTTGATATAGAGTTCTTGGGTGTTTAGGTGTTCGTTTATTAGGCACATAGGTCTAGAAAATCTATTAATGGAATATGTCCCGAGGACTTATTCTCGAGGACCATGGGGTGATGTTAATAGTCGTATGAGTTTTCTTCGAGGACTAGAAAGATCCCGAGGACATATGGCAAAAAGGTGAGTGGAGCACGTATGGAGTCCTCGGGGGAAATAGTCCTCGGGTATACCAATATTGGTATCATCATCCATCAATATAGAAGAATGTGGAATCCAACACATATTCTCAAGCATCGGAAATATCTATGCTGCTGAGATAAAAGAAAACAACAATTTTTAAAAAAAAAACAACAATTTTTAAACTAGTGTGCCTTGTCTTGCACACTTTCTTCATTCTCATATATCTCTAGAGGCATACAAATACAAAAATATATGTGCATCGGTACAATATGTGTAAAGCCAATATATCCTTTAAGTCCAATAATATAATGGTAAACCTAGAGGAAGAGAACTACCTAAGTCATATGAACGAGGTAAGTAGAAATGATTTGAGATTCTATGGTTTAACTTAATAAAGCTATGTAGTCTAGAAAAGTATGAGAAAGATTGTCTATTTTTTGCATTTGTTTCTTAAATTTTAGATGTTGTAAAGGATAATACCTAAACCAAAGTAGCAGTAACAAAAATACACAAGAGAAGTACAATGTAATTCAGATATGAGAACACTTCTACAGAAACATCTTTAACCCCAAAATAAAAGGGAAAATGCATATAGAAGGTTGAATTGATGCGATTGATACAACAAGATGAATTGTTCAAAATGATGAACTGTAAAACAGCATGATGTAAAATGGGAATTCACTAATGAGAGAAAAATCAAACTTCCAATAGGATATTGCAGCCGAAATTCTAGAAGTGAGGCCAGGAAAGTACCAAATGCCATCTGAAGGAACCCCGAAAGTTATCCAAATAAGCCCAGCTTTTTCTATAGCAAGGATGACAGAAACGTGATCATAAGTGACAATACTTGAACAACACAAGGTGAAAATTCGGAAGATCATAACACGATAGAACATACCCAAAACTGGAAAATGGACATCCCTCATAAATGCGATTACATAGAAGAAAAGAGAGGTTGACAACCCAGAGCACAAATGAGAAATATTTTGTCCTTTCAAATATCTGCAGAAACAAAAATAAATATGAGAGTATTAGAAGCATTATTTGGTATTGTGAAGAAGAACAGTAAAAGCAGACATCTAAAATTTTGAACTTAACACGATCATACTATTCTAAGCCACCAAGAATATTGCAAGCAAGATCATCAACAGTCTTTTGGCATGTATCTACACAAACACATTCTGCATGAAAAATGATAACAAGACAGCGATAATCCATCGAGTTAGAAGAAAGCGAACCTTTACCAGAAGAAAATTAGCTGAAGCAATAGCGATGATAAATGTAACTCTGCAAACAAAAATAAAGTGCCACTAAAATTACTATAGCAATCTCAAGTATAAAATATGTTTATACTTCAAAACAAAAACAAAAAAAGATGTACATACCAGGCTCCGTGTAGATATGATAAATAAGCCAAAGAAATCAAAAGCCAGACAATAACACTGATCGGTTAAATTTAAAACCCGGGTCGGTTTCCCATCGTGTCCGATTGGGTTTAATAACACTGATGCAAAAGTTCAAGACTACTTTTTATGAAAGGTTCAAAATTCATGTGCACTTTCTGAAAAGGTGAGGGACCTTGACAGAAATTTTCCCTTTGGCCCTATTTTGACCATTTCGCAATGGCTCCCGACTCCAACGAAATGTTTGCACGGACTATCCAAAATAAAAATACATCAGATTGAAAATATGTTTTTTTCTCCAAACTCATTTTTTATCCCTGTTCTCCAAAATAATCATTCTTCACAAATTTATCATAAAAAAGTCTTTTCAAAATGTAATTCAGAAAATGTAAATTAAAGGCCCGTTCGATATGACTTTTGCTTTTGTTTTTTCTTCTTGTAAGAGAGTTTTAAGAGGAAGCTACCTTAATCCTTGTTTGATCCTTATTATTTTCAAAATATATTTTTCTCTATGACCCTGTTTGATTACACTATATTTTCCATGGCACTTGGAATTCGAATTCCAACTTTCATTTTTGGCCAATTTGATTAACAAAATTTTTCAGGAAATTGACTTTCCATGATTTTCTAGGTAGAAGCCAGTAAAGCATGAAATTTCACCTTTTATTTTCCCATGAGGTAGGTTGTTTTTGGAATTCCCCCTTTTTTTTTTTTCCCCTTTTTTTTGTTTTTTTTTAATTGTTGGCAGTGTGAACAAATTTTAGGAACAATTATAAAAGAGAATGGCCCTTAAATTGACAATTTCATGTAAAACAAATTCAAACGAACATCAAAATATAGATAATTTTTGGATCTTTTTTTTTTTTTTGGTTGACAATGGAAACAAATTCGAAGAACAATGGTAAAAGTGAATATTCCTTAAATTGACAATTTTTATGAAAAACAAAGTCAAACGAACACCAAAAGACACTTTTATTTCAACATTTTCCACATAGAAAATTATACCAATCAAACACTATTAATTGACAATTTCCAGTAAAACAATTTCTAGACAATTCAATTTCCTGGAATTAATTTTATTTCCACCCAATTTCATTTTTGCAATCAAACAGACCCTATTTTTTTTTTAATCATATATTTTTCAATAAAATAATATTACATACAAACCCCATATTATTTCTAATACTATCCCTAACTTCGAACTAAACAAGATTCAGAGGGAGTTTGTTTCTCATTTTTGTAAAAATGAGAATGAAAAAATATAGCCGTTATGAGCTCCATACAAGAAATAAAAATTCAAATTTGCTGACTTGATGTGATGGAGAACGATCATATTTTTCATTTTAATGGAAAAAGAATGGAAAACAAACAGGGGCTCACTACATGAATAAGGTTCTTAAAATTGTCCCCCACCACCACGTGTGTGGGACGAGTATATTACCCTGTCAAAATTCTCCATAATGTAAGAAAATATGCGATTTCTTAGTATGATTCTTGATAATACAGATAAAAATGTACAAGATGTTTCAATTATTTTACTTCAAAATCTAGGACGAAGAAGATTTCGTGTGGACAATTTTAGAGAGGAGAAGGATGGTAGAAGATATGAGTAGAAGGAAAGGATCATACATCAGAATGATCGCTTGAATTGTATTGGATATCCCAATAATGCCAAACTATTACAATTGATTTTTTTGTAAGAACTTAACTTTTTGTCACTGTCTCATTTAAAACAACCAACGAGTCTTCGAAATAATATAAAGATTTGGTTTAGACAAAAAAATATAGCAATTCCAAAAAAAATAAAATAAACTGCACGATTGTGCCACTGTAATGTCTCAATTTTTGTTGTCTAAAACTTTCCTTTTATTTACCATTTCTAAACGATCGTTGATAAGATTTAGAAAATGATTCTCACTCAAATTATGTAGGAGTAAGGGTTGCTATATTTTTAAGTGAACGAATATGGAGTGTAGATACCTAATCAATAAAATTGAATCCATAGTTTGTGGAATTCAAGCAACAAAATTAGATTATGCTCCTCATTGGTGTTGTTTAAAATATTGATAAAAATTTAAGTCAAAATCAACAATTAATTTTAATCACGTATTTCATGAGATCTACAACTTGACAACAATAAATTTCATTGTAGCAATAATTTTTCAACCATATTTTCATCAATTTTAATAAAAATCTATTAAAATTTTGATTTTAGTCGCACTAGACAAAGGCTTAAAATACGATTTTTAACTATATCAAACCAGTCTTCCTGCCTCGAGTGTTAGAGGACTTTTGCTAAGAAACATCGTTCCATCTCAGATGCACATTCATTTGGAAATCAATAAGATTATTACACAATTTAAATGTTGATGAATTTTGATGTCAACAATAACAACATAACAAATTTAAAGTATGTTTGGTGGTGAGTTTGAAAATCAATTTTTTGACCATTAACTTGAAAAGTAGATCCTGCTTATGAATAAAATGGTCAAAAATAACGATTGACTAAATTAAATAACGATAAAAAAATTAATTTTTTAACTTGAAAAATAAGCACCAAAGGCTTAAGCAGTGACTTGACTGCTCAGAGGAGCCGCCGTTTTATCATTTTATATTTCATGTAGCAAATATTATAAACATGGGATCCAATTGGGTCACGTCACGCACGAAGGGCCCTCAGTGATTTAGTCAAAATAGCCCACTTAGAGGCCCACCCATTTGTTCCCAGCCCCCAGCACCCTAACCCTTGACAATTTTAGACAGTTCCAAGATCCTGTCTTCACCCCCACCCCCATTGACCCCCACGCGCCTCCCGGGTTTCCAAGTCTCCCTTCAGGAATTCAACTTTTCCCTCATAAATAATTAACGCGCTTAACTTTTCTCATTGTCTCCCCAGTTCCCTCTGTTTCTGTGCTTGCTCTTTCCACAATCTCATTTCATCATTAATCCCTTTTCAATAGACACGCATACTGGTGAAGATGGGCGCTTTTGGTAGAGTTATTGTAATGATGGCTATAGTAATGTTAACCAGAGTTTCTGCGGATCCAGATATGCTTCAAGATCTTTGTGTTGCTGATCTCACTTCTGGTATATGAATAAACAAAACGCCTAGATTTTTTCAAGAAAATTTACCTTCATTTCTTGAACATGTAGACTTCTAATAGTGGTTGTTTGGTTTACTTTCTTTTTCATACTCCGATTTGCCATTGACTTTTGCTTCTCCAGCTATTTTTCCAACTGTATCTGTATGGCAAATATTAATTACAAATGTCTGTATCCAACAGCTGTGAAGGTGAATGGATTTACTTGTAAGTCCAATGTCACTGCAGAGGACTTCTTCTTCGCTGGCCTAGCTAAATCCGGAGCCACCAATAACTCCATGGGATCAGTGGTTACGGCAGCTAATGTGCAGAAAATTCCGGGCCTCAACACCCTCGGCGTGTCACTTTCGCGCATCGACTATGCCCCGGGTGGCCTAAATCCGCCTCACACCCATCCGCGAGCCACTGAGATAGTTTTCGTGCTGGAAGGTGCACTGGATGTGGGATTCATCACCACAGCCAATGTCCTCTTTTCCAAGTCTATCAAAAAGGGTGAAATCTTTGTTTTCCCTAAGGGCTTAGTTCACTTCCAGAAGAACAATGGTAAGGTGGCTGCCGCCGTGATTGCAGCCTTCAACAGCCAGTTGCCGGGGACTCAATCCATTGCCGCCACATTATTTGCTGCTTCACCACCAGTGCCTGATAATGTTCTCACAAAGGCATTCCGAGTTGGTACAAAGGAAGTTGACAAAATCAAGTCCAAATTTGCACCCAAAAGTTAGAATCTTGGTACGTAAGATCGATATTCTTGGCTAATGTTTGTTGCTGATAAAAATTTAAAATTTAGGGGTAGCGTGCGTGCGTGTGTTTGTACTAGAGATTTCTTTCTTTTGTTGACAATAAAACTTGAATATTTGTAATAATCATCTGTGTGTCGTAGACATTTGTTTTAACGTTGTACTGCATTTTTCTTGAGATAACAAAAATTGCATCATAAGATGTCTTATTGTGAATGATGTGGAATTCGATCCAAAGTAAGTGTTTGGATCTATCATGACATAGCCATGTCAATAAGACACTTATCAAACTTTTATGTAGCTTATAATTCAGAAACCATTTTAAATTAAATCTTAAAAGCACACAAAAAATTATATAGTAATGACTAGATTGAAGTGACTTGTTTCTAAAGAAAAAAGAAAGACATTACAAGTTGTTATGATTTTCTAGTTATTTGATAAGAATAATGGTGCAATTAAACCAAACCAGCTTTCAACATTATTAGTAATCTTGAATCGTTTTACAATTAAGGAGTAGGTAAATTTTCAATTATTTATCTGACTACTCCAAGACCAACCTTCATAAATACTAATGTAGGACTCTTAGAGCCCTCCGGAGTATAGTCTAGTGGTGCAAAGGATAACCCCCAGGGCACATCTCCAAGTGGTAAAAGGGGAGGGTGGAAAAATCCAGCTTTGCTTGAGGTTGTCGCGTCAAGGGTTCAAATCCTGAAATATGAATTTGGCTCTTGGGTAAGTGTAAGTGTACAAGCAGCCTTCCACCCTATACTCTTGGAGGCATAACCTGCGATTTACCTCTCTCACGATACTCCAGGGTAGGGGCGGTGGGAGACCCTTAAGGTTGGGGTTCAATCTTTTTTAGTGGTGCAAAGGATAGAGTGAGGTAATCTCATGCCTTACTGACAGTTGCAGTGTGGGGAGTTTGATTCCTGAGACATAGAATTGGATTTCTTGTAGGCGCAGTGTACAGACAACTCTTGTTCCTTGACATGTTGGGACACATCCCGCGATTTACCTCCCTTGCAAAGTTCTAGGGGACAGTTAGGCAGGCTTTGCTTTTGCTTCCATTTTTTATAGATTAATTTTTTGAAAAATTTATCTTAGATTAATTTTCTCTAAAAGTCATTCGATTCAAATAACGTACTTCTTAAAAATTATTCAATGTTCAAAACACATTTTTAGTCTCGAAAGCAGTATCTGAATATTCAAAAGCCCTGTCAAACAGACTCTTGGTTTGTTTAGTAACCGTAGTAGTACCAATCTTTTTTTTTTTTTTTATCGGTAAATGTGAAATTCTATAAGTCAAAATTGATTTACAAGTACACCGGGTATACCCGGACAACCAAAGGCTCTTGATTTGTTTAGTAAATGCAGTAGTATTACCAATCTTATTTGTAAAAGAATTGATATCTAAAAATAACACTGCACCTAACCCTTCATCTAAAAGTTAATTTCCTGATTCGTTCCTTCATTAAATATCAAACAAGTCAAATTTTATAACTACGATATCTGTTTGTTCTAATACAATTTCAAACCACATCGTTTAAAACTTTAAACCGTTTCAAGAGAATACAAAAATAAGCATAAATACCTTACTCGATCCACGTTGCATAGAAAGTATGATTAGTAATGCTACCCGAAACTCAGGTTTATAGCAGTTTAAGATAATACAACCAATAATATTTGTTTTGCCACCTCAAGTCTTCTCTTTATTAGGTTGTCTCCACTCACATTTTTTATCTGCCAATCCCATAGTTGTCTGCTGCTAAGCATGGGTCTCCTATTTTTTAAGCACATGTTTTCAAATTTATTATGTTATCCTCTGTGCACAAACTTAGATAGTGTATTGGTTATGCTGTAACTAAACAAATATAATCTTGTAATTTTTGTTTTTATTTAAGTCCTTAAAGCAAAAATATAAAAATAAAAAACAAAAAATCTATACAACAATGGAATTGTATAAAGAAGAAATAAACAAATACTATTAATTCACTCTCATAAATATCGAATGAAATTGACAGAAATAACAAAAAACTCCCCGTTGTATATTTTTTAAGCAAAAACAACCAAGTCTTCTGTAACACACCTCAAGTCTAGAAACCTAAACTTAGAAGAAGTGGCGGATTCAGGAAAAAATTCAACACGGACTACTACGTATAAAAAAAAAATATTGCACGTAAAAAAATATATATTTTACTTAATTTTTTTTTAATAGACATTTGAGCTGAAGGGATGGGCTGTAGTGTGGCCCAGCCCGTCCCTGCATCCGCCCATGCTTAGAAGTGCTAGCATTTAATTATGGATAAAAAAATATAAAAACAGAAAGCTAATAAATTTATTTTTTTTAAATTTTTGTTCTTATAAATATCATTTCATATTTCATTTATGTATTGAAATCATTTCATAAAATAGTAAAACTTGTGGTGAAACTTCTGTTGGAAAAACTGACTTCCAAAAAATGAATTACATTCATTAAAGACAATAATTTGTTTAAGAATCATTTACTGTGATATTCAATAGAACAATGAAATAGTAGTGTAGTTAGATTGAGACTATTGAAATAAGTTTAATATCAAAGTACTTTATTTTGAAATAAAGTAAATAAAATATTTGCATAAATAATTAAATACACATGTTGGTTATTCCCAATCATGAATAAATTTTTAATGTTTTTCTGTCAGCACGGAGACTGGCTTCTATAAAATACTTGCACGACCCTTCGTTAATTATTACAGTAATAGCAGTTTTAATTCTATACTATTTATTAAATTTGTTATTAAATGACTGCCCCACTTCTCACTCTAGATGACCTCATCTAAGAAGATATCTAAATTGGAAGAAGTTTATTTATTTATATTTCTGTTCAACGAGTTGTTTTATAGGCAAAAGTTCTTCAGATGCTTGCCTTCTATGATATCTAAACAGTTTAAATTCAATAACCCCTACTCTGCCGGAGCACAAGATGATTTCTAATGCTACCCGAAACACGGGTTTGTTAATGGTAAGAATATGGTGAAAAAAAAAAAAAAATTAATAAAAGTGTGACAATGAATAAAACAATCAAGCAAATGACCTGTTGAAATAAAAGAAATCAAAATATTATAATTTATACATAACAAAGCACCACCTACTTCTTAGATTTAAGGAAATCGACTTTCACGAGCTTTCCTTCACATTTCTTGTTATCTGGTAAAAACATATGAAAAATAATATCGAAAAGAAAATCAGCACACATAATTTAAATGGTTCGAGAATGTGTCTGAGTTCACTGTACCGCCAAGCCAACGGACCCCTCTCCACCGCTCCATCCTAGCCCCGAATATTAAAAATAGGAACAACCTAATCAACAATCACTTTCAATACATCAACAAACGTAAAACAATAGATACGTCAAGAAACAATATTTTTCTACTTGGGGTGTGATATTATAATGTTGGACCCTGAACACATTATCTTACTGAACTTCAGGTGGCATGATAGAGTTCATAGGGTTACCCTTTAAAGTCAAACAAGAGAATACTATAACAGATTGCACTTCAAGACACTTGAAAGAATCTAATTCTTGAAACAAGAGAACACTATAATGCTGGAAGTTTATTTTTCTAAGACAAATTCCCACCAAAAAAAAAAAAAAAAAAACAAGTTGAAAAGGACAGAACAAGTCAATCGAAAAGAGAACTCGAAATCTGAATAGAACACTGTCTCCTGAAGAAAACAAAAGAAAGAGGATTTTTTAGAAAATATCTTTTCCTTTATTCCATGTAATTTTTGATATTGTTTCTATGTTTCTAAGGTTTGGCATGCGCCGCTATAGATATTAGACTTTTTTTTTAAGTTTTGTATCACTGAATTATAAAATAATTGTGTATGCACAGTTATTTTATTTGTTTTCTCCATATCAATCAATTCAATAAAATACTCTGCTTTTTTGACAATTAATTCTTTGTCTTTTATCTTATTGTTTATTTGCAATCATATACTTCATATTGTGTCATATATATTACCTTAATTTGCTTTATTTTTCAACAAGTAGTATTAGAGTTATTGGTTGTGATTTTTTCAAGGATTTTGTTAATGATGGCAGTCATGAAGTGTGAAATTTCACACTTGGATCGCAATACAAGATTCTCCTCATAGCAAGTGAAGAGCCGAGCTGTATTCGTATAGATGAATTTGGATGACACGTTGTTGGGATTTGACAAAATATCCACAACTAATGACAGAAGAGAAACAACAGAATGATCAAAATAAACTTTCACAGATCCATCACCATCTCTTTAACAATATTCTTCATGATATTTTGAAGGAGAAAACGATGACTACATTATAGTTGAAGTTGGAGCAATTGTAAATGACTAAAAGTTCGACAAGTAGATTGCATCTGAAACACATGTTATATTCTCATTGTATGGCATAAGAAATATTTTGGGAAGTGTTGACCTCGCGAATTAGACCTCCTACGTGGCCAACCGATAGCTATTCCACATGATCCTCCCTATGTGCAATCAACACATGGTTAGATGCACACGGTCGGAACCAGCTGGGGTGGTGGCAACCGCATACACTCTGACGATCAAATTATTATTCGGTGATCGGAACCGTGTCCGGATTGTGCAAGTGAGTGTGGAGGAGATTATATATATTTTCTTGTTATGGAAAGCTCAGTTGCAAGAGTTTCATTACATTTGCCTCTTGTCAAACCTTGGGTATTTATAGGTGAGGAGAACCATTGGATGTGGGACATGTGTATGCATCTGACGGCGTGAGGCGTCTGCTCATAGGCGTCAATCAGCCGCATCTATAGAGTGGGCGGGTAATAACTTCTTCTGAGTTGAGTTGACATAAAGTTAATACGTTACATCAACTAGACCCATGGAGACGTCAAATCAATTGGGCCTTGGGGGTAGAGAGGATCTTGACACAGATTCTCTTTCTGAAAGTGGCGGGGCTGAAGGAGAACCTCGGAGTGCATTGCGCTTCGACGTCAATGACACTTCGGTCGGTTCAGCAGAGTTGTTTTGTGTCTCGCAGTGCGTTAGCAACACGTGGACATTGATGGTGGAGTCACTTCGGAAACACTTCAGGTTGGTGGTGGATTCCTTGTACTACCACTTTCGAAGTGGTTCAGATATTCCGAAGCATCTTTCCGAAGTGGTTCAGATAGGGGAGTAACATGAAGATTATATGAACGTGTTCAAGGAGATTATCGCTGATTTGAAGACTTTAGAGGTAAAATATGATGATGAAAATTTGACCTTAATTCTTTTGTGTTCACTTCCACTTCGTTTATTACGTTTAGAGACAGGATCTTGTATAGTCGTGATACTTTCGCCAATGAAAATGTATATGATACATTATTTTCAAAAGAGAAGATAAAGCATATGGTTGGATCTGAGGTTAGAGATGGAGAAAGCCTTATTGTTCATGGTGATCGAAGAAGGGGGTAAGTCGAGGTCAAATTTTAGCAATCAAATTTATTATTATTGCAAGAAGAAATGACACATTAAGAGGGATTGCAACAAATTGCATAACAATGGTAATTTGACTGCAAATCATGGGAGCAATCAATTACTTTAGAGGAGACTAACATAGCCAAGAACTATTTGCGTGATGAATATATTTTGACGATTTCTGACATAGAATTCAAACCTAACGGGGAGTGAATTTTGGATATAGCTTGTGCTTCCCATATGTATCCAAATCAGGATTTATTTGAAACTTATGAAACAGTGACATGAGATGTCGTTGTCATAGGTAACAACGAACCTTTTTGGGTAGCTGGCATTGGTAGAATTAGATTGAAGCTAGTGGATGGAATATGTAGCACGCTTGATTACATTCGACATATTCCAGACTTGAAGAAGAATATCATTTCATTGACTACTCTTGATTCAAAAGGATACAATTTCTTTGGAGGAGGTGGAGTCTTGAGGGTTGGAAAGAGTGCTAGTGTTGTACTGGAGGGACAGAAGAGGTTACAATTATACATTTTGTAAGGTCAAACAGAATTTTGTGAAGAAATGTAAGCACAAATTTAGTACCATGGTGGAGATTTAGTTTGGTACCGTACCTTTGGGTTTTGGTTCGGGATCTATATTGAAGAATACCATTCAGTCGAGTTTGGAAAATATGGTAACTTCGCTTTGCCATCATTACCTGCGATTCCATCATATTCAACTATTAGGAATAGACCCATTAAAGATAGGTACGTGGACATTGATTCTGTTGTACATGTTTTTTAGCATTTTTGAAGTGTTGAGACTAACCAGGGGCCTTCTATGAAAGGATTGGGAGTTGATTCTGTTACAAAGTGTGCTTCGACATTATTTTATAATTTCTAATTATTTGTGAATCTTGGGGAACTCGATGTTTAGGTGCATGTATTCATGTTAGATATTGTAGAAGAGAATGAATATTTTTGTGTTGGAGAAAGTTTGGTTCTTCTTGAATAGTTTGAATTTTTTGTTGCAATCGGAATTTTTTTAGGCGGAGAAATTTTGAAACTTCATTTGTTGCTTTAAAATTTGTGTTAAGATGAAGATTGTTGGATTTTTTTTACCCAAATTAGATTGAATTTTTGGGAAAATATTTTTTCCTTTATTCCACATGATTTTTTTATCTTGTTTACATCTTTGTGGTATTTCTAGGGTTTGGCACGCAAACCTATAAATACTAAACTCTTTTTACAAATTTGTATTAATAAAATATAGAATAATTATGTCAACATGGTTATTATATTTATTTTCTCTATATCAGTTAATTGAATAAAATACTCCGTTCTTTGTCAATTAATTATTTGCTTTTTATCTTTTTGTTTGTTTGCGATTATATACTTCATATTTTGTCATATATAATATATTGATCCATTTTATTTCCCTACAAAAACATCAGCCTTGTAACTAGGATACTAGAATATTGCATTTTCTTTGTCAACTGTCTTTATAGAGAAGTTCTGTCACTGGATTAAAGATCATTAAATCATGTTTGGCAGATAATAAAAACTATCAATAGCCGTGGGCAACCTCATTGGTCCTGACCTACTTAAGTCTAAACAAACTATTTGTAATTACAAAAGTTTGGCTACCATTGCTTTCTCACACGGAACAGGCCAGACCAGACCTGACCAGATTCCAATTGAAGTCCAACGAGAGAATTTTGCATTTTTTTCCATCAATTTGGGGTCGATTGCATGAACCTTATTTTTCCATTCTGCTTGGTTCATATCGATCCTACTCCACAAACTTTGTTTCTCAAGAAGGTAAAAATGCTGGATACCTAAATATATATAAAGCACAAGAAATATAGAAGCTGGTTTTTGAATACAGAAAGTTAGTGAAGTAACCTTATTAGAGAACTTACTTTAATGGAAAGGCAAAAACTGTCAAAGAAACAGAAACAAAGAAACTTCACTTCCAGCGATAATATATTTTCTAGTTGAGTGATATGAGAAAAAATACCGAACACCAAACGCTAGTGTTTTATATTAGAAGTTAACACATATACGTTGTAACTTAATCAATATAAAACCAGACTAGAAGAGAATAAAATTCGAATCAAGATTTCTCGTCCATGAAAGGATTCTGAAATCTTAAAAAATATAACGGATTCAGCAATCCAGTTCGATCACATAAAAAAAATGACCGAAATCCAGCATACAATGCACTCGGCAGATACATTTCATAACTATATGCGAATTCTGAAGGTGCTGTCCACGAACATAAATATTTTCCTTCCAAGTATCCAAAACCAACTCAATTTGATCTTCCTTTCAGGTTTTACTGATCCAGCATTCGACTTCTGGCAACATTGGCCTAGAGGCAAAAGAGGTCGACTCTTGTGTGAAGATTTTCCACACCTTCTGGCGCCTCTCAACATGATTCCAGGAGATAAGACACGAATCCCAGGCATACAAATTTCAACAATTCTTTAAAATAATTTTAGAAGAAATCAAAGCTCAACCTAGTAAAGCTTGACAATTTGTACAGAATATCACACGCTTATTTTGTAATATTTGAAGAGTATATGCTAAAATTTGGTACCCAAAATCTTCTCTTAGACCAAGTCAGGAGTAGATGGTCAATCAATCTCTGTACCAAATATCTTATAACTAACAAGAGTAGACCAGAGGAATTTTCATCAGTGCATATCTATATTGAATAATTCTCATAATACATTTTGCTGAAATCTCTCTATAATTGAATGAAAAGAATTTTCAAAAATCAATTTCATACGAAAAAATTGAGTTTCCAATTTGATTGTTCTGTTTCCTGAAAATGGTTTTACACTTAGCCATCCCTATCCAGATGGGGATTGCAATCTTTAGAATAAAAATCATTCTTCTCAATCAAAGCCCTCAACGTATCATAATCAAACTCAGCACAATTACAATCACTTGTAGGTGACTCACCCGAGGAATCCATAGCCCGCGGTTGCTTGAAGCACAAGACACCCCCACCTCCACTTTTCGCCCAACACCCAGAATTTACAGAACTGCCCTTATGCTTCCTCCTCTGTTGCAGCAGCTTCTTGCCTTTCCCGAACCCAAAAATGGAAACTTTTTTGCCCTTTTTGCCGCAGGAATGGCACTTTCTTTCTTTTTGATCAATCTTTTCCGTCGGGCCGCCTCCGCCACCTCCATCTCTTGGTGGCTCTCGGTCTGACATCCAAATATGTCTTATGTATTAATAAATCCCAAGAACAGCGGGGTATAACAACTTGCATTAGTATCAGGACCTCTCGGTGGGGGTATATGATTCAATATTTATGCTTATTCTTTGAAACTGCTAAGGTGGTGTAATATTGACAAAAGAGGAGTTCGTAGAAAATAAGGAACAGAAATTTAGAATTCGTATTTCCAATTGAGTTGCAGAGAGAAAAGGAGAGAGGGTGTGGTTATTGTCATGTTTAACGCCAGAGTTGTCGGGTTCAGATGGGAATCTGCAACGTGTCACGTTAATGAAGCCATTTCACCCTTTTTTTTACCCAAAAAAAATAATAATATATATATATATATATATATTTATTTATTCTCCTAAGCACCAATGCTTAGGTGACATGGTACAATATATGATGTAATTAGTTTTAAAACTAATTATTATCTTTCTCTACCTATTGGAGTGTGTCACGTTACTTGGTGTTTAGCATAAGTTAAACATCGATGATTAGGAAATCATAACTGTATATATATATATACACACACATGTTCGTTTCATTATGTACTTGTTTGGTAGGGATTTTGATAATTGATTTTTTGACCATTAGCGATAAACTGGGTCCTATTTGTGAGAGAAAAATTCAAAAATGACGACTATAATAATAAAATAACGGTCAAAAAATTGATTTTAATTGACTTTTCAACTGTACCAAACAAGTTCTATAATTTATTTTATCAGATGTGTAGATAATATGAGTAGTATTTATGAATATGTGGTTAAATTAATATTTGATTTTGACTAAATTTTATAGACTATTTATAAATTTGTATCCAAACGTAGGCTTAATCTTTAGTGAATATCCAACTTACGGTAAATGACAACTATGTACTCAATTTGTTTACATTTGTTGCAAAGTGCTCGGTAGTGATCGAAACTTACTAAAGGGGCGTAAAAATTACAGAGCTTGCTCATGACTCAGCTTTTCAAAAACAAATTAGTAAACACTTGGCCTATATTTTGTTTAGATAAAATCAGAATTTTAGTAGATTTTAATGATAATATGTAGCTGGAAATTTTGATTAGAAAATGGAGACCAATGGGCTTAATTTTAACGGAATAAAACGAAAATATAACATGGCACGTAATAAAATTAGAATAGGAAAAAACAAAATTTTGACACGTTTTGATGCAAGTATAGAATATAGATTAGGAAGGGGGAAAGAAAAGGTAAGGAAATTTGGTACCATGAGGTTTGCCATCCCTATCAACCTAATAATGGATAATGCTCTTGGTACATTGTGGTGTCTAACATGGTGTTCAAAATGGACATTCGGCATCTCGGTATTAGCCGAGGTGCCGGTGGGCCCCGTCGTGGCAGGCACCTCTGCCAATGTCGAGGTACCGAGTGTCCATTTTGAACACCATATTGGATATCACAATGTACCCCAAGCATGATTGCCTAATAATATGGTATTAGCAACACTTTAGGTTAAATTTCTCGTAACAAAAATGTACGAGATTTAAAAAATTAAGGTATCTTATACTGCCATATTACTTGTGATGGTAATACAATCTACCTAATGCCACCATTTTATAATTATGTGTTTTCTTGGATTGATTTCTTTCATTAAAGAATAAAGTATATTATCATAATATCGGCAAACCTTTCTTTTGTTTGAACAAGCAACAAGGATGGTGACTTTTCTAAACCCTCTATATCACTTGTTGTAAGGTAGATGAATTTGACTGAACAATTTTTATAATATATTTCTCATCGTTAATTCTATTTAATCATATTGAAAGATGTTGTTTGAAAGCATGAAATTAAATAGGCATGGAGTCATGAAATTATCCCACTGTGACGGAGTTACCAGTTTGAATACCAACGGGAAGTTTTGTCGGTCATTGAGATGATTTGGGAGTGAGTTATATTGGGGAGAACCGTCCAACCACGCCTTCATTCTCTCTTTTATTTATTTATTGGGTAATTGGAGCAAAACATCCTTACCTTTCGAGGTTATTGTGGAAAACGTCCATACCTTTCATTTTTTGGCATTTTTGCCCTTATTTACCACCTTTCTTGCGCTGAAGGTCCTTTTCACTGTTTTTTGACGATTTTGCCCTCTATTCAAATAAAAGAAAAAGAATAGAATAGAAAACAAAAGAATTAATTGCAACTAATACCCCAAAAATTCAAAAAATTACAAATTAGTAATAAATATAGGAGTTAATAGCCCAAATGATTACTAAACTTTGCCAAAGGTCCAAAAAGGTCATTGAACTTTTTTAAATACAAAAAAAAAAAAAAAACCAACAAAAACCAACAAAAAAAATTGAAGAAACGGGCCCCACCAACAAAAAAAAGGACCAAAAATAATAATAATAAAAATAAAATAAGGAATGTGAAAATGGAGGAAGGTGAAAAGTAAACCAAAAATTATTTTTTATTTTTTCAATCGTACATTTTTAATCAAAATTTATTGAAAATTTTATTTTTAGCAAAATTAATCTGTATTTTTTTTCTTTATTTTTAAAAATAAAATTTTCAATAAATTTTGATTAAAAATGTACGATTGAAAAAATAAAAAATAATTTTTGGTTTACTTTTCACCTTCCTTATTTTTTTTGTCCTTTTTTTTATTGGTGGGGCCCGTTTCTTCAATTTTTTTTGTTGATTTTTTTGGTTTTTTTTTTTTCTTTTTGTATTTAAAAAAGTTCAATGACCTTTTTGGACCTTTGGCAAAGTTTAGTAACCATTTGGGCTATTAACTCCTATATTTATTACTAATTTGTAATTTTTTAAAATTTTGGGGTATTAGTTGCAATTAATTCTTTTGTTTTCTATTCTATTCTTTTTCTTTTATTTGAATAGAGGACAAAATCGTCAAAAAACAGTGAAAAGGACCTTCAGCGCAAGAAAGGTGGTAAATAAGGGCAAAAATGCCAAAAAATAAAAGGAAGGGACGTTTTCCACAATAACCTCGAAAGGTAAGGATGTTTTGCGCCAATTACCCTTTATTTATTTATTTTGGGGGCTAATAGGTACGGGTGATTATTTGGGTTTAATTTTGGTTTAGGTCATTTTTAGTTGGCTCATTTTGAGAGTTTTCATTTTTTGAGAGGAAACTACACTTTATATCTATTTTTTGACTTTCAAATTTAACATACTTTAAGTTTATTATTTCACAAATCAGATTATAATTGAACTATTTAATAAATATATAATACATTACAAATCAGGTTATATTACAATTTCTATTTATTTCTCTCTACAAATTAGGCTACTCCATGTCTCCGCATCCATCGACGAGTAACTAGACCTACATTTAAACATTGCCAATGAGCCCATTTTGTGCCTTAAAAGAGAGCAAATTGTGTTTTTGTACATTGGATTGTTGGATGTTAGATTATGCATCACGGTCTTTATACGAATCAGGCTACTCTGATTCTTCGCCTCCGAAAATGACCATGCCAAATAATAACTGGGCATGCATCCATCATTGCCGTTGAGCCCATTTTGTTCCTTATATAGGAGCAAACTGTGTTTTGTGCACTTGATAGATGGATGTTACATCAGATGCTACAACCCCATCGATTGGGAGTGGAGGGTTGGGACTATGAGGTTGTAGGAGGTTTAGGGTGGAAGTGGGGTTACGATTTGAGGAGAAAGTGGTGGCTATTAGAGTCAATAGTAGGGATGGTGATGCAGTGACTGTGGCACTGCAGTTGGCAATGATTCGACGATTGATAGATCTAGAAGGGATGTGGTAGTAGTGTTGGTGGTGATTGTGAATTTGTGTTGAAGGTGGTAGTGATGGTGGAGATTGTGAATTCAATGGCAACGTCGATTTGGGTGATACCTGAAATGGTGGAGTGGGATGGGGTGAGATAAAGAGTGATATTGATCAATTAATTGGATAATTTGTAATCAATAAACAATTTGTGACATGTTAAAATGAGTAATTTGCAACTAAATATGGATTCGTGATTCACAAATTGTATTTTTA